GGGGAGGAGCAATTATTTATCATAAAGACACAGTATAAACTGAAAGAAGAATTGATCTTGAGCATGATGATATAGAAATGATATGGATTGAAGTATTATTCAATAAGCAAAAAATAGTATTAGGATGTATTTATAGACCTGAATCAAATGTAGAATATTGGGATACATTAGACCATGTTCTAGATAATGCATGTAACACATCACTTAACATCATAATAACTGGGGATATAAATGTAAATATGTTGAATATACCTGCTAACCACCCTTTAAATAGACTAATGGTAAAATGTAACTTTACAAATCTAATTACTAAACCTACCAGGATAACACAAACTACTGCCACTGCTATTGATATGTTATTCACTAATAATATTAATCTTATAAAACATAATAAAGTGAATACACCAGTATGCAGTGATCACTTTGTTATTCATTTTACCTGTTCATATTCTATATTTAAGCAAAAATCCTACCAGAAAACTATATTAAACTGTGACAATGCAAATTTTGATAAAATGAATAGAGCTCTAAATAAAATAAATTGGGAAATATTAATAAATAATGTTGACTCGAATGAGTTTAATACATTTTTAACAGATTCTATTAATAATCAAATAGAAGAATGTATACCATCCAAAATTATAACTGTTCGCCCGAATGATAAACCTTGGATGAAGAATATTATTATGCAAAAAATAAGACAGAGAAATAAATTACATAAAAAAGCTATAATAACAACACTGCAATTAATTCAGAAATTTTCAGAAAGGTTAGAAATGAAGTAGCAGACCTTGTTATACTTACGCTTAAAATTACAAAATAACCTACGATGGGACAAACATATTGACAACATCACAGCCAATTCCAAAAGGTCCCTAGGTTTTCTAAAACGCAACTTAAAAATAAACTCACCACTTATAAAAGAACACGCATACCAAGCATTAGTCAGGCCAAAACTTCCATTTGGGATCCACACAACACAAACCAAATTAAACAAATAGAAAAAAACACAACGAAGAGCAGCACGCTACGTAAACAACAGATACCACAACACTAGCTCCGTAACAGATATGATCCACAAACTACAATGTCCAACACTGCAAACACGGCGCTGTCACACAAGAATGATCCTTTTTCACAAAAGTGTACACCAAATCGTAGCTATATATAAACCCAACATATATACTCACACGCTTTACAGGAACGTGCAGGAATGTGCAGAAACGGGCAGAAATACATTAATTATTATATATTTTAATAAATATATATATTAGATATATTCAATTATCATTATCGGGTATAAGATATATTTGGTAAAAAGGATTGCAATTACATAATCGGTGCAGAATCAGAATAAATTATATCTATATACATATACACCCGTAGACCCCCGAACCAGACATGCACACCCTCACGCATACAAACACATATCTACTACAAAGGACACCTACACATATTCATTCTTTCCTCACACAATAACACAATGGAATCTCCTTTCCATAGCAGCAGTACAATGCACAACACTAGAGGACTTCAAGGCACACGTACCCTATGCAGCCCTTGAAGCCCTCATCACACGCTAAAACATACGCCAGCTTGTATCGTTTATCTATACCTTGCACAAAAAAATCACAAAAAAACAACCACCAACTAATCACTGTAAATAACCCCTTTTTTCATGCCTCCGTGATAGGATCCCCGAGGGCATAATCATCACCATTAATGGAGCCCATGTTCCATAAAGAAGAAGAAGATCCCTGTCGTAGTCGAATTCCACCCCGGGAGGAAACGCTACAAGTTTCCATATATTGAGTGTCCTTGGCTTAAGAATGATCCCGACTATATGAAATTTCAAACTACTCTATCCTAGAATGTAACCGGTAAAATATCACCCATGACCTCCTGGTATTGCAGAAGAAGTATTCACATAGTTGACCCCTTTGACCGTGAAAGTAGGTCAATGTAATTTATAGGGGGAAACTTTATAGAACTCTGTCCCAGATACCTACACTAGCCAAGTATCATTTATCTGGGCCTCCTGGTTATTCTGAAGTTGTTTTAAGGTTTTTACATATTTAATCCCTGTGACCTTGAAAGTAGGTCAAGGTCATAAACATATTTAACCCTTGTGATCTTTATATCACTTCATGTCAGGTACCTACTGGTCAAGTATCATTACTCTTGACCTCCTGGTTATAATGAAGAAGGTTTTTTTGGTATATTTGACCCATGACCTTGAATGTCGGTCAACGTCATATATTTAAGGAAACTGTATAGCACTCTGTCCAAAGTACCTACTGCTCTAGGCCTCTTGGTTATTCAGAAGGAGTTGTTTAAAGGATTTTACAATTTTGAATCATGTTACCTTGGTGTATAGTTTTTTTTATAGAAATCATGCCCTATTTTTAAAATCTCTGATTCTTTTGTTGTTGTTTTACGCTCAACATTCAATTTTGTTATACTTTTTTCTGATCTGTCGTTTGTTCTCTAATTGGATGAAAATATTTGGTGGTTTTTTTCTCCCTTATCTACCCGATTTTCTTTCGCACTTATTTGGGTGCCTTTTGCTTTAAATTCATAGACGTCTCCTATTTGTTTTTTCCAGATCTATTCTTTTGTTTTCCATAGCCCAATCATCAGTGTGGTTAGTCTGTTCGTTCATAATTTTTAGCTGTCGTTTTAGTAGGCTTAATTAGACTTTTCTTCATGCCGAAATCAAATTTTCTTTAATTGTGGATTTACATAATTCCCATCCTACTTGTATATCTAGTACACCACTGTCTATTGCATGTAGGTATTAATTAATAACCTGTTTTATTGTTTTGATATACTTATCATCAGTTAGGTAGGAATTATTCATTTTCCAGAAGGATCTACCCCTTGTTGGTTTAGTAAGGTTTAATTTGAACGAGATAGCCATGTGATCTGTATTTTTTATAATTGCCGGTCTTATGTCGCATGTATTAACAATAGGCCTGATATCCTCGTTAATTCAAATTTCACTACTTGTTAAAATGTCCCCTTTCTGTCTACAGAAAGGAAGTTATATTTATACAAATACTACTATGCAATGCCAAATATTGTTAAGTCATCAGAACTTATAAATACAAACAATATTAAACATTTAAGAAGTTTATGCAAATTTATCAAAATTTTTGTTTAAAAAAGTATCATGATTTGTCCTCCATATATATTAAATTTGATATTGTATACTGTTGTAAATATGTTTTCTCTGTAATTCATAATTTTGTAAAGAGAAATAATAGAGTAATATTAGATGTTTTAGTAATTAACATTATCTCTCGAAATAAATGCCACTCGATCCTTCAAACAGCACCCGAGGAATGGTTTAAGCATCTCAAGTTCCTGTGGACGCAAGGACTCGTTTTGTCGGCGTATTTAGTTCCTCCCACAAAATTGAATAAATTAGATATATCTCAGCCAACACTCGGGGAGATTGATAACTCCGACAAATATGGATTAAGTCCAATCAAACATTATTGTAACTAATTATAGTATAGTATAATTATCGTATAGTTTATGGTCTATTTCTATACGTCTATACAAAGTCTATTTTACGTATCGCTTTAGTCTAATTCAAATATTAAACAGGGTCCAGATGGAAAGAGTCTTGCTACAATGACATCCACGTAGAACGTGATGGAGATACAGATATATCTGATCACGTGGGTTACAGAGTGTATAACTGATGTGATAGGAAGGTGGTCGGGGGCAAATGACGTGTCTTATAAACCACAGCAATATCAAATCGAGCAGAATATATATATACAATATATGTACAATCTGAAGCGGTACACCGTTCTTAGACTGTATAAGCCTAAACGATGGATATAAATTAGGATGTTAAGTAGACATAGCTGTTATCGTAAACAAGATAGATATATGGAATCACATCTATTTGGCGGTTGCGCGGTTAATTGTAACATTTAAATCACCTATAATTATTACTGGTCCTCGTTCCGAATAAACAGAGACAAGCGATTCTAATAGATTTACATGGTCAATGAAAATTTCAATTGGTCTCGAGGAGGCCGGCATGTACGCCAAAAAACAAGATATATGCTCCCCATTCTGAGTTTGAATCTCACTTCCAATAACTCTCGGGCTATCCACAGGGATTTCTTGAACAATTACCGATTTGTGTTTGTACAAAATACCAACACCACCTCTAATACTACATCTATAACGGAGTGGGTCAATTTCATAGACTGGTATTGCTATGTATGAGTAACCACCACCTTTGAAAGTATCAAAAACTGACATATTAAATTCTCTCAAACAGTGTTCGGAGACACCACATATATCAATGTATGTGTGTTGAGACAATTAAGAAGATATGGTGTGCCAGCCATTATCCCCTCAATGTTCCAACACATAATGTTCAGTTTTTCAGCCGCGCCCGTTCCCAGTTAGGAACACTTCGTACATAATTATATGCATTCTGGCCAGAAGAACATCTCCAACCAAACAGTTACCGTCGTTTTCCACGTTTAGTTGTGCCGAGACTGTTCGTTTGTAGTCTCTTTCGAAATATCGAAGAGAGGTAACTTTGCTATTTTTCCGTTCGAGGTATTTTACATTATTTACATATTTACATTACACTTTTAAACAGATAATATAGAATATAACAGCACTACATAAGAGTTCACAATCGAGTATTTCACTACTTATACATAATTATTACATTTCAATTATATTACAATTTTTAAACATACAACCGTCTATGCATATTAACTATATTAATTTATATTACACTGTTTAGGCCACCAAATACAAGACAAGTTAACTTTAACATTACATTTCAAAACAGGTTAAGAAGTTAAATCCATAAATATAAACTGTACATTACATTTACTAATCAAACAATACAAATACATTAACATGAACAATATTCACATATTAATAACAGTAAAGTTTAGTAATAGCAATCTCAAATTGGCCCCCCCCCCCCTCCCCTCAAATTTATATCATATCTCCAATTTAAAGTTCAAGTCCAACAGCCAAGAGGCACACATTTGTTTTGTTATCTATCCAAAATGTAAGAGATGTGATGCTGCATTGGCGTACTCCATAAGATCCATCGTCTGGTTCTCAAGGCGCTCCTTCAGCTGGGTCTGTTGGCTGCTGATGTTTCGGTATCGTTTCTCGCGCGGTCTGTTGACTCCTCCTGCATCTCGTTGTATCCTGTTGATCTCGTTGGCTGCCTGAATCTCCTGGAACACTCTGATGATGGCGAAGATGTTTGGGTGTGCATGGTGAACCTCCTTCTTCAAATTCCCTTGCCAGGCCTCTAGGTGATTGGTGGTGCGGGGTCCTTCAGTGTTGTAATGATTCCAGATATGACGATATCCCTCGATCGGATCCACTGTGTTACGACGTAGTCTGTGAAAGGTGTTGTGTTCACGGGTAGGTCAGCATCCTCAAGTTCACCTAAAGCGCTGAACCACACATCGTCCACACTCTCCAGGGGCACCAGGGGTAACACTGCGGCCAAGCGCACAAGACGATTGACTACCCCAGAATGATTGTTTGCTATATATAACCAATTTCGCTTGGATATTCATCATCAGCTTGGATATACATTAAGGAGTGCTTAAATAATGGTAACACTCATCATCATCTCAGTAATTAGCATAGGCCGTGATCACCTTTAGCTCACCTTGATGGAAATGATAGCTTTGATAATTAAAGATGTTCAATGATTTTTATGATAGTTATAAGATACTTATAACATCTAGGAATTTTGATTAATTAACTGATTAATTAACTGTTAAACACCACACTCTTAGTCACACATTACATTCTTATATTTTGTACAAGGTAATGTAGGCATCTTATTAAATGTTACAATAATAAAGACTATTTAATAACTATTTATATTAATATAATATTCATCTTATCATATCAGCAGCAGAAGGACTACAAAATGGATATATTTAATACTGAATATATATATTTATATATATGATTAATATTTAAATAATTTAAATTTTAATATTTGT